AAAGCTTGAAAACATAAAAAAAAACTTAATAGTATAAAAAGACAACATGAATCTCACTCAGCCTTTCCACTGTTTTTAAATCAACGTTTTTTTTTTTTCAAGTAAGCCCTTTTCTAGAATGAAATTAGCATTCTTGTCATCTCCACAATATCAAGGTCAGCAGTCATATATTTTGTTAATTCAGAATACGTAGTCATGACCCATACATATATATGGGTGACAACTCAGCATACAGTATTTAAAAGCACCAGTTTTAAATTCATCACTCTCCTATAAACAGAGGAGGGATTGTACTGTATTCTTAACAAAAATCTTATTATTTTTATTATTGTATTATTTGAATGTTTTCTGCCAATGACATTCAAAGTGTACTTATATAGAACATTTAAAACTAAATAATTAACCCAACCGCAGGTCAATAAAAAGTACAGATGTGTCTAAAATACCCCATTGTGCATAGACTATCAAAACAAAGCACAACCTTGAATGCAGTCCTTTACTAAACATTGTCTCCTAGAAGCAACTATCAAGAAAAACGTATACATCTTACAAAATGATTTGAAGATGTATTAGTTTGAAGGAGCTATATATGCAAAGGTAAACTATTCATAAAACTGAAGCAGCTGAAACCTACCTCTCTGCTTTGACCGGGTCTGGGGCCAGTCTAAAAGCATCTGCTCTAACAGAGGTGTAGTTATGAAAAAGATTCAACATGCTCAACTGTGTCAGTCCCAGTGGCGTGGCCAGAAAATCTTGTAAGGGGTGGCCAAGTAGGATCAATGTGTACTAAGGGGTGGCTGAAAGTGGAAAGGGGCTAAAACCAGTTCAAGGTAAAGCTACACCGTAACAAAAGGAAAATGAATCAATACAACAGCCGTATAATGACAAACTAAAACCCCTTTCTAACAAATAATCACATATTTTTATACATCCATGCTCTCTAAATTAAAGGTATTATGGACAATGTTCCTATGGTTAAGGTTCCAGGGGGAACATCTTATCTGTTGGGCTGCTCTGGCTTTGCATGTGCACTTCTATTGTTGATGCATCCAGTTAGCTTTGGTTTCAGCGAACTCCAGCCCTCCCTGTCTGCTATAAAAAAAATGGCTAAGAGTCGAAGAAAGCATTCTTACAAGATTATTGGAAGAAGATGAAGACCTAAGAGGAAAGAAACATAGATCACATAATAATTGACTCATCAATAATTGCTCATAATGTATACATCCACTAATACATACATTCATTTATCTCTGACCAGATAAGAGACTCGTAGATGACTTGCAGAGAAGTAGCTTTATCTTCTCTCTTGAAGAGGCAAAAACCAAATTCTGAAAAAATGATTCATTATTTATTTATGATTTTGTATTTTATTATATTGATTTGAGTGTTTAATTACTGTATTTGGTTGTCATTTTAATATTAATATACACACAATTGAATTGTAAAACTAGTTAGAATGTTCCACTTTAGATTCCAATAAAGAAAATGAAAAAAAATGCACTGGACTTTGTTTCCAAATTTGAAGACAATTCAATTCAACAGCTTTTGCAATTCAAAATGCCAGGGATAGCGTTGAGTTCGAGGTTTGACGCTATTCCTGACATTTTGAATTGAAAAAGTTTCCTCGATGGGAAGTGAAATGTCTTCGAACTTGAAAAAAAACTTTGGAATGACTTATGACCTGGATGACTGAGAATCTTCACCAGCACGTTCCACTTGAGAGTGTTATTGATGCCACCCTCTGGTTTGGCGGGGAAATGCTTGTGAATTATATCCACATGAGATCACCTGATGGGGGTGGTCAGAGATTGACTAAGGGACCATGGCCACCCCTGGCCCCCCCATCTAGCTACACCCCTGGTCAGTTTTTGGAAAACCCTAAAAAAAGTACTAACATTTTAAAAGCTATCCAAACACAATGAGAAAACCAGTGGAGAGAAAACAGGAAGGGTTTTTGATGATTGCACTTCTTAAAACTATTTTAAAGACAGTGTCATTCTTAACTACTCGCAGGTTCCGATTACCTACCAAACGAGAGATGAGATTGAAAGGTTGGGAGAAGCTGTGGACAGAGGGCTAGAGCAGAAACTTAACAACCAAACCTCTGAAGGGACAAGTGTTGTTGCTTGTGAGTGTAATTTTTTTTAGGTAAGAAGATTGTATCTTTTGTAGGATATTTTATTTCTTATTCTCCTTCTGTTAGTAGAACATGTCTGCTTATGTCTGCAGATCCCATGAAAAACAGAAAATGCACCTTCTCTAAACCATCCTCCAGTATACCCTTCCTCTGTAATTAATTTCAGCTCTTGATGTTTTTTCCTTGTGTTTGAGCAAAACGAAGGAATGTGTCTGTGATCTGATCACATTGTAGTAATTACTTAACATCCATTCCTTCCAAGTGCAGCAGGAGATAATGTTGACTCCTAAAAGCCAAAGAGCATGTTGTGAAAACACTAACTAGATGGACATGTAAAGTTTGAATGGTGTCAAATGGTGTCCTCAGAATGACATTTTGATTTCTACACTGTACTTCAGATGGGGGAGTGGCGGCCTAGTGGTTAGAGCATTTCACTTTGGGTTAGAGGTTCTAAGTTAAAGTCCCACTCCCACAGCCTCCACTCTGGGTCCCTGAGCAAGATCCCTAATCCCACACTGCTCCCTGGGCGACGCTTAATGGCAGCCCACTGCTGCTTAGAGGGGATGGGTTAAATACAGAGAGTGAGTTTCGTCTATTCGTACTTGTGTTGGTGCAATGAAAATAAAGTTCTATTCTATTTTAAACACAGACTGAATATGTGGAGAAAAGTGAGAGTGGCATAATTGCTCCAAAGTACGCTAATGTAACATTGGATATTGTGGCGAGACAGTTGTTGGTAGAACTAGGTGGCTGGTTAGAACTAAACCAAAATGGCAACATCTTCCTGAGTGTCGCTTGAACTTTGAAAAACAGTACACTATTGCTGTGGTAAATTACGGGTATGCTGGCCTCAGACAAATCTTTGGGTAGGGTGTCATTAATGACGTCGCTAAGGTACTGCACGCAGAGCATATTTTCCTCCTTGCTGGATAAATCCCAGCATACTGCATATCTTTATTTTGTGAACTCAAGTCAGAGTCTTTTCTTATTGGTGGTCATTATATTGTGCCTTGAGGCTCCAAACAAAATCCTGTGCATCCTGGCTGCATTTGTGGCTTAGTTGTGGTTGTGAATATATTCCTAAACCCAACTGAGAAAAAAAACTGCCAAAAAAAAAATGGGATTACCCTTTAATTCATTAATTTAGGTAAGACACTTTTAAACCACTTGACAGAGACATCCTTAACACTGTTGTTTTGCAGCATACACAGAACCCAGGCGTTTATACTCAGATAGCAGCAGGTACAAGAAAAGTTGCTGATATGTCTGTGTCTCCGAGATAACATTTAACAGAAGCTGCTGCATTTTAATTCAGTTCAGCATCATTACTGGAGATAGGAAAGCAACAGCAGTAATGACAGGAACATGATAGAAATTGTCTGTGTCATGTGTGGAAAGGCTTTTTCATGCAACTGAATTTGCTTTGTGCGTGAGTGTGTGTTTGTAAGTGTTAAGAGGCAGATGACGAAGACACCGACAGGCAGTCGTCTTTGCAATCGGTCGATGTATCAAGAGAGAGATTAGTGTCAAGAATCTCTTCCCCCTGTTTTTGACCTTAACTTGTATTTGCAGGCCGTTTCATAAATCAAACATGTTGTCAAAGACAGATTGTGTGACAAAGCTGGAGCACACCATTGTTGTTATTACTACTCTGGTAAGTCAGATCCTTTCAGAAAGTCTGTTTTCAGTTTGCTGGGTCGTATGTTTTTTTCTTTTTAGCAGGGTTAAGAAGAAACTGCAAGGCCAATTCCGATGTGGTAAGTCTGGAAGTTTTTGCATTTTTTAAAACAGTAAAAGATTGCTCAAGACCAGATTGAAAGGAGATCATTTATTCCGCAGTCTTTATAATCTAAACTATAACAACAATGGTGTTTTTAAATTAGTTTTTTCTATCCGAATGCATTTATTGCACATATTATGAGTGCATCATTGGTTGATTATTATTCTTGTTTACATGTTAAAAATAACACATTTTAATGATAAAGACAAAAGAGAACCTCATATGACAATAAGAGTTCCATCAGATGTATTCAGCCCAATCCAAGGTATGTAATTGTTTGTAGAAGAAATCCCCTGATTAGGGTTTCAGTAGTTTGGACATGATCCTCCATATAAACTGGCAAAGGAAGAATGAATAAACATTTTAGGACCTAGCCTTAAGGCCTTACTTACAATATCTAACCTTGAGAATATAAATACAATCATAAGGTTGTAATGTGGGAACATATGAAAATGTTAAATGGGTATTTAACTATTCTTCATAGGAGATATAAAAGAGCATTTGTCACCACATTTGTGTGAAATGACCTTAATGCCTTAGAGACCATCTCACACTGATAGAGTCACATTAACTAGGAGTTGAATGAGGAAATAAAGTTTTATAGTGAAGCAGGGGTTAAAAACAATTGTTAGCTTGAACCTATCAGTGAAGTCTTTGAATATTTTTTTCCCAAATCAAAAATGTGAATAAGGCAGCAGCCATCCCCTGTGTCCCCCTGTTCTGAGCTATAGTCATATCAGTCAAGTTGCATATTCAGCTTAACCCAAAAATTGTGCCCCCTATTATCTTTTTTTATCTCCATCCCCTGACTCTCCCTTTATCCGTTTGTTCCCTCCATCCATTCTGGAGCAGGCACGTGCAGAGGGGAGGGGCTAAGGGGGCTTGAGCACCTGCCCCTTTTGCTCCATGATCCCAATGTGCCCTTTTGGTCCTTTTTTTTTTTTTTTTTTTTTTTTTTATCTTAATTTTTTTTATTTGACACATGTACTGAAATTATTATTATTATCTTTTTTTTTGGCAAGAAAAATGTAACCCATGTTAAAATCTAACATAAATAGGGATCTAACATGAATAGGGATAAGTAGTTGGTTAAAAGTCTGTAGACAGAAAATAACGTCGCTGTCCCTTTAAGAAACCAGCGTTACAGGTGCAGTGTCTGGGTGACGCTGCAGTACGCAGACCCGAAGGAGAGAGCAGAGGAGGAATCGGAGAAAAAAAAGAGCGGTGATTAATTAACAGAAAAAAGTTAATATTTTAGTAAACAAAACATAATTTACCTGGTCGGGAACTGACGAGGATTTTATGAGAACTAAGCCATATCGGTTTTGGTGAGTTTTGTGTTTATTTTTCTGTATTTTCATTGTGTTGTAATTTTTCTGTTGGTGGAGAGTTATTAACTGTTATTCAGTTAATATATGAAGTTTATGAAGAAGAATTTATTTGCATAATTTGAGTATTTAAAAAGAGTTTTATTGTGTTTTTGGCCTGTTACACAGGTCAGGTTTTTTGTTTGGATTGGAAGTTTGGTCGGAGCGAGGATTACCCCTTGCTCACACTGGCTCCGGTGCGGTTACCGAGCCGACGGAGACCGCAACTCCCGCACACCCCCTCTCACTGCCATGTGCGGCGTGCACATTCACAGACGGGATTCAAGATGGCGAGCCAGACCTAGAACTTCAATTCATCTTGTCCATTGAGGGAGGGACTTTCCCGCGTGTGGTAATCCCCTGCCAGAGCGGTAGGGATATCAGAAACTAGTTTGAACTGAACTAAAAAAGAACTGGAGACTGATTGAATTATTATTATTTTTTGGACTGAATCAAACTGATTCTTTTCGTCGAACTGAGTGCCTATATTTACATTTGGACTTGAACTTGAATTTAAAGTGCCATACTTTGATTTTCATATGTTTAATTTCTGAATGTGATTTGAGTAATTGTGGTCCACTTGATTTAACTGTGTTGAAGGTATTTTGCAACCTGTAAAAGAAAGGAAAAGAGTTAACTCAGGAAAAATTTAAATCTTAAAATAGGTGCAACCTATGAAAAAGATACTGGTCTAATTAATCCAAATTAGTCTAATTAAAATATCCTAGGTGAACTAAAGAGCAAAAAGAAAGAGTGATATATTCTTTTTTTTCCTTCTCCCTTTTCCTCCCCATTTATACTTACCTCATTATTAAGAATCTGCAGAGTATTTTTGGTTTCATGTATTGTATTTTATGTGTGTTTTGCATTCATTAAATTGCCGGCCATTTTCATTTAAGCAGCGGTCTCTGGTGCTATTATTTTGCTCCCCACTCCTTAGAGCCTAGAACTGGTCCAGTGGCGCAGTTAGTGGTGTGATACCAGTGCTACAAAAACAATACAATAAGCCCTCCGGTCACATTGTTACCTTTGACCTTTTGCCGGTGACGACGCACTTGCCTCTCGCACAGTCAGATAAGGCGGCTAACTGCGGAGCTAAAGGTAGCGAACATTCCACATTACACTGTGGCCGCTGCTCATTTGGCCCTAAGCATGATCAACCATGATCGGATGGATGGCTATGTCGTCAGTCTGCACCGCCTCTCCAATGTCAACCTGAATAGACATGTAAGTGAAACCAAATGAGCCCCATGGATGATGCAGTATTGTTTGATCTAAAACACTGTTTACTCTGTGCTTTTAGTCTTTTACATTGAAAATTATGTTTTTTAATTCACAAAAAACTGTTCTGTAATGATTACAGAACAGTTTTTTTGTGAATTAAAAAACATAATTTTTGGTGAAAATACTGGAGTAGGCTTGCTACTTGTCAGACAACGGAAAACTTTGAACGTTGTATAATTTCTCTACTTTAGTAAAGAGTAGCGGTTTAAACGGAGGAAAGTATAGGACGCGGCGCGCCTTTCTCTGAAGAACTACTGAGCGGGAGGAGAGAGCCAGATGAGGAACAGCTGTTCTTATCTATCGATTCAGTATTTTTATCATACAGACATTAGGCTGTTGTTCTTGTGTTTCCCTTAGCTTTGATTGTATGTCTCACAATTTTGTAATTTATCATTGTTCATTAAACTCTGAAAGCTATGTGACTTTGTTAATATTCTGTCCTAAAATGCGATAAGATGTGCCCTTTTTTTTTTTTTTTGAGCACCTGCCCCTTTAGTGGTCTCTGCACGGCCCTGTTCTGGAGTGCTAATTTATGTCACACACCTCTCCTGCCACATGACTTCACTGTTCGCTGCATTCCTTCCAATCATTTCACCCCCCACACCCCAGTCTGCCCACGTCTTCTGCTCATCCTCCCATCTGTGCTGATCTTTCTCCTCTCCCTTGTCTCTGTCAACATCAATCAACAATCATGACAGCCTTGACCACACATGCACCACTACTGTTCTCTCTATTCTACTGTGGAACTCAGAAGGAGTTTTTGATTAAAAGTCCTCGTTATAGAGATGTAACAAATAAAAGCATAATGAACAATTTATAAAGTTATATGTACATTGATAGATGGACAGACAGACAGACAGACAAACAGACGGACAGATGGATAGATGGTTCAATTTAATAGAAGTAAATTAGCACTCAACATACTGACATAGCAATATTTGCTTACAGTATCTTATAAACCACTGTGATTGTGAGGACATTTCTTTTGCAGCCATCTTTAGAACCGGACCCACATATTTTCCTCAGATTTAGTTCTGAACTCTGGCTCAGCCATTCAAATATATTCATTTTACTCTTATGAAGTATTTTTGTTTGTTGTATATTTCGACATTTGTGTGGCATCACCATGATGCAGGAAAACTAAAATCAATCTCCAAACTACGTTGTGCAGAAGAGGACCAACAACACTAACTGATACCTGGTTCCTGTGTAGCCTTAACAGACCTCAGATTATCCCAGAGGCCAAACCAAAGACCAAAAATTATCCCAGAGGATGAAGCTGCCACCAGCCTACTTCAAGGTTTAATAACAACGGGTAACAGAAGCAAAAATCCAAAAACATAAAACCTCAGAATCCACAAAAATAGAGAACCAGGAATACTTATAACAAGGGGGCAAAGAAATAACAACAAACCAGCAAAGAGAGAGGCCAAACAAGAAATATCTAAGAACTAAAATGCAATAAAAAATAACCATAACACGAGAATGGAAATAAGACCAATGAAAACTCAGAGATAAAACTTGAAATGAACCAAAACCATGACATTGAGTTTGGTTCTTTTACATAAAGATATGTCTTTTGGGGAATTTGGGAGATTAGTTATGCATCAGTTTTTGCTTTGTTAGAAAATATTTCTGTCAAATAAAACATCTTCGCAGTTTAAGCGTATCGTTAACAGAAGAAATTAATGGAATGTGGTATAAACTAAAAAAACAGAAAGGTTCAGTCCGCAGGCAGAAACCAGCAATAGTCCAAAAGTCAGGTCAGGCAAAGAGATCAGAACAGGAAGAGGCAGGGACTTAATGTTCCCTATACAAAACGGGTCAGGATCAGGCAATCAGAACACAATCAGGTACGCTAGAGAACTCTCATCAAAGGCTCTAATAATCTGGCACTGATGACAGGGAGCAAGCTGTTTAAATAGAAACTAGAGCAGGTGACACAGATGAACGGTGATGAGAAACTGGGTGGAGCTGGACAGGTAAATGAAAAGAACCATTAAGTCAGTCAGAAGTGCCAAGATAATGGCAATATCAGATATTGGCCAAAATTTGAGTATGTAGCATGAACTTAATTTTTTGTGTCTCATGACTGAGTAAAATTAAATTGCTGAGATTTTTTTTTTGTACTCTTTGCTGGACCCCACCTAACCCACCTTTGTATTACAAGATCATTTGTAACCCCTCTGCAAAATGTGGCTTCAGTTAAATAAGGCAGATTAGAAAACATCAACTATATCATTTTAGCTTGGTTGGGCTGTTTACTGTAAGTCATTGCAGATTTTATCTTAATAAGCATTTTTCTTCTTATGAATGGTTCTTTCTCTTGAATTTACATAGTCACAGTTTTAGGTTTGACTGTGACTAAATCATATAAAACATTTGGTTGATATTTGATATGGTTCATTAAAAAAATTATGGCAAGTCCCACATTCCCACATTCCTAAAGTAAGAACAAAGATAGGGTAGCTGAAGAGTTATCCTGGCAATTTCCATGCAATTAAGAGGATGGAGGATGTTTCATGGTACTTTTCAGGTGGATATTGAAGCTAAGTGATATGTAGTCTTCTCTTACTTATATTTTGATAATATGGTGACACAGGAAGGTGATGTTATATACTTTTAGAGTGAAGTTGAGGATGATGAAAAGAGCTCCAGGTAAATACCTAGAAGGGAAAGGTGAAAGATCAGACTGAGGGCAGACAGGGGAATTAGTGGAGAGCTCTGTTAGTGGCTCTTTGTTTTAACTCTCTGAGGTAGATGAATGGAAGCCTCTCCAGACTCAGTTTTTTGTCAAAAACGAGGAACAAGTGAATCCAGTAACTCTGCTTTCAATATCAGTTTCTAGAGGAGCCTTGTAATGTAGTCGGTTTCCCAGACTGGAACTGAAAATTTCAGGTGTTTGAACTGGATTTGTATTGAAGAGATCAACAGGGCGACTAAGCAGCACGCAACAACTTTAAGGGAGGATACAGGATGAGACCAACTTACAAAAAAAGAAAGCCGACAAAATAAAGACTTCAGAATGTTTGATACCAAGCAGGTTAATAAATAAACTTTTTTCTTTTAGCATAACAAAATTTGTGACATTTAGACAAGAGACAGATTTAATTTTCACAGCCAGGGTATGGTCTGCCCATTTCTCACAGTCCAGATTGTGCCTGTAGCTTTAGGGGCCGTAGAAGCCTCATAAACAGCTCCCACTAATTTGTAATCATCAAGGGAGAAGAGGGACGACCAGAAAGATAAGAAAAGGGCTGATAATGGACAAGTGTAGCTGTGGTTTTCTTTGAGATAGGTCAAGCAAAGAGGGAAGGGAAGCAGAAGAAAAGAGATGAAGAGATTCCACAAAGTCAGAGCCAGGTGCAGAGATGACTCAGATGCCAATAACAGACTCTGCATCAGTCTGACTGTAAATGAGAATCCTATGCTATGTTGTTTTTTTTATATAGGCTTCAATGCTTGTGGTATGCATGCAGTTTTTTGAGTGGGGATGTAGGAAGCAGGGAGGGGGGGATCTAGAGAGAGAGAGGGTTGGAGTGGGTAGAGACAGCCGCTGTGGCGCATTGTGAGGCTGAGCGCACGCAGGAGAGGGAGACGGAGAGAGAATCCCCCATTTTAGCTCAACAATATTACAGCAGAGCAGCGATATCTACAACAATGGCAGTCTGGCACTCTCAGCACAGTGCTATTGATCCAAGCAGTGGAAACCCAATACATCACCCTCTCTGATATATTTATTTATTTATTTTTTGCAAGTAGTTCTCAGATGAAATTGAAGAACTGCAGAAATTAAAACTGAACACGCTTTGTGGTGCAGGTAAGAAACTATTGGTGGTGATGATGGCAAACATTTGAAGAAACAAAAATCTCCAATGACATCTGTGTTTTAAATGATCCTGATGAATGTCTTGCATCCTTAATTTAATCCCAATCTGCTTCCCCTCAGGCACACTGATTTACTAACCGGATCTCTTCTAAGACACCGCACTGGAGATTGAGAGCACAAGTGAGGGAGAGAGCGATCGAGCAAGCGCAAGAGACGGGGATAGGACAGCAGTGTAAAAAAAAAGAGGAAAAACAGGAGGAGGAAGAAGAAGAAGAAGCAGAGAGAAGGAGAGAGTCACAGGAGGAAGGAGGAGGAGAATGTTCGGCGTCTGGGTAACACTTCCACGCTTGTGTCCAGGGCCTTTGTGAATACACCATGGGATGCATCGGCTCCAGGAGACTGAGTAAGCAGCACCGCTCTGCTTTCCCCTCTCTTACTGCGGGATGGAAAAGAGAGGGAGGCCGGGGTGATGATGGGGAGGAGGAGTAGAGACAGAAGGGGGTCCTGCAGGAGCATGCAGGGGGTTCTGCGTGCCTTTTTTATGTCTGGTGTGTGTGCATGTGTGTGTGTGAGAGAGAAAGAAAGCAGCATGTTTTGGAAAGCTGTGCTTATAGAAGCGGTGCACATAGGATAGTGGCAGTGTGTCAGTGGTGATATTTATAAAAATCTGTCTATGGGTGTGTGCGTGTATGTTTGTGTGCATGTATGTGTGGGCGTGCATCCCCGCACCTCCCTCCTCCCCGCCCGCCTTACTCAACCCTTGATTTATGATGCTGTTTGGCAGTGTATATATGTATGTGTGTGTGTGAGTAGGAAGCAAAGGGATGGAGAGCAGAGAAAGGCGCAGGGTAAGCTGTAATAGTGCTTATTTATAAATAGGCATGGCCTGGAGGAAGAAAAAAAACAACAAAGAAATGGGACAATGCAAGAAGACTGTTGTTAGCTATGCAAATAATAAGAGAGGGAAAAGAAAGGATGTGGTAAAGAGAGAGAGGCACGCGTATGGGGAGAAGAGGAGACAGGTTGATGGCGATGGAGAGGAGGTGGAGGAGGGAGGGGCGAATGCATGCAAGGGGGAGTGCGTGTGGTGCTGATGGGAGTTTTTCAGGTAAGGACAGTCCTGATCAAAACCGCCTCGGTTTACTACAGCAAAGCGCCAGCAAGGCTGCTGCTGAGAGAGGATAGAGTGTGAAATTGTCATTGCAGGTAAACCTTTATTTGTTTACATGCAAATGATTTCCATACGGTGCACTTTCAGGTCCATCATAACTGTGAAACCTGAATCACAGTAAACAGCAAAAAAACAAACCTATCATTAAATATTAATGTTTCCCTTAGCAGGTCAGGCGCTATATCTATACATATATATCTATACATATATATCTATACACATATATATATATATATATATATATATATATATATATATATATATATATATATATATATAAATTAGTAATTTAAATCAGTTCGTAATATGGTTAAATTAAATAGCAGACTGGAAAAAATTGAAAAAATTGAATTCTATATAAGTCATTTTTTTTTTTAAATAAGGGCATTTCTTCTTGGATTTAGGAGGTAAAAGAGACATTCTGCCAATGGAACAAGACAATTTACACAAATACACAATTTACACAATACACAAATAAGAAAACGCGGCTGCATTGTCTTATTTTCAGTGCATATTATCTAATCTTATTTTAAGAGTAAAAAATGCTCATTCCATTGACAAACTATCTCATTGACCTACTCAAATTAAGGGTGAATACACTTAATTTAAGAAACTTTTACTTATTTCTAGTAAACACCCAGTGTAGTATTTAGTTCAAAAAGCTACTAAAAAGTCTTATATAAACAAGGAAAAATTAGACATATTCTTGTATATCTAAACCTCTTTTGGCCATCACTGATAATATCAGGTGGTTCACTCCTAATTGGTTGCCTAAGATAATATTTCTCATTATTACAGTATCAATCATGAACATTCTCATGTGAGGTAAAAGTGAATAACACACTCAAGACATATTTCTGAAATATTAAATGTCAGACTGATCATAGTTAATTCCATAATTCATAAGAGGAAAAATCGTGATTTCCCTATCAGTAGGAACAAGGTGCTCCTTGCAAAATTTCTTACAGCTGTCAAAAAATATTCAGGAGAGTTTTCTATCTCTATCTGGGCAAGAGAATCATGCTTAAGCTTATCCAAGGTTTGTTGCATAAGATTTGGGACAAATCTAGAAATTCCTGAGAGAATTCTGGTCAGATCAGACCTAATTGTAACTGTATGGATGTCACACCATATTGAGAGGAAAGACGGAATATGGCTCCACTAAGTTTAAAAGTGGGAAAATAACATAGTGTAAAGCTTTTTTCAGCATAAGACATTCACTGGTTTAAGTGATGGTAGGGGTGAACAGAGAAGTGTCCTGAGTGTCATGATGGGTGTCAGAGAGTAAGCCCAAGATGCAGAACACACACGGAGGCACTGGTAAAAGTCCAAAGAGTTTATTTAAGGCACAAGCACAATGAAATGAACAGGTTCAGTCCGGGGGGGGCTGGTTCACTGGGGTCCGAGCAGGGAAATGGAGATGGTTGGTTTCAGAGTTCATGAGGGGCTAAGCCTCTAGCTGTTAGCTTAGCAAAGCTAACTAAGATCTGAGCTTCCAGCTCAACTCAGAGAACAACAGGGAAGACACGGGAAATCCACATAGGGGTCGTCAGGTTTCAACCATGTGGGAATCGTCGGGTTGGCTCACCAGGGCAGCTTAGCAGGTTAGGTTTTCCAAGAGCTTCAGGCTTGAGACTGGTTTCCTGTGATGCAGCTCTCCCAGAGCTGCAGACCGGAGACAGGTTGCCAGGGAGACAGCTCTACCAGAGCTTCACGAAGAGACAGGATCCCTGTGAGGCAGAGATAAGAGATGTTAGAATCTGGTCTCGACCTAGGAACAACCAAGACTCAGTCAATAGCAGAAGGTTCAGGAAGCTAACCAACTAAGATCAACACTGCGGCGTGGAATAAAGGTCTGAAGTCAGCTTATATACTGTGGTCCTCCTGATTAGTAGATCAGCCACAGGTGTGTGGGAGGTTCAGCTCAGGAGGACCCACGGCGCACTCTGCTGGAGGCAGAGGGTAATCTCCAGAACCTTGGGACTCCAGCCCTAAGGGAAAGACAAAGAAAGCAGAAGAGGATCCTCGGCGCCCTCTGGTGGGCAAGCCTGAGGATCCCAACACTGAGGAACTTATGATAAGAATCTGCTAGATTAAACAATGTGAGATAGCGATCTCAAGCAGAAATCTGCAGCACAGGAAGCTCTCATTTGGAGAAAGAAAATAATTTTTCTAAAACAGCCCTCTCAATCTCCTAAATGGATTCCAGAATAAAATATATGGAAATAACTAAGAAGAGGCTCTAAAAATATTTGCAAATTTGATGGTAGTCTGTGTGAAACAATGGGTCAGAATCCTTAAAATTGCCATCGACAAAAAAAAAAAAAGACTTTTCTTCTGAGAATTCCTTTAAAAGCAATTTAGCATGGTGAATAATCAATTTCCAGAATAGAAAACACCTATTTCCCCCACTGTTTTTACAGCTTTAAAACCCAAGATTCAACATTTATTTAAGAAAGTAGAAATATATTGAGTTTATTAACTGATTTTAAATAAAGAGGATCTTAAAGATGCTAGGTCAGAAAACAGCTAGAGGACTACATGACACAGTTAGGAGTCCAGGTGTGAACTGAATTCAGCAAAAACAGCAAAAAAGCAAGAACAAAAATCCCATCACAGAAGCCCAGGCTGTCCAGAAAGCTTTATGCAGCTTTTTTCAAAGGAGAGATTCTTTCAGAACAGAGGAGCCCACCCTTATTTTAACTACAACAAATGATGCGACTGAGACACGCTTCTGAAAATCTACTGGTTTGTTCTTATTAAAGAGCAGAGGATGCTTCAAGTAATAATGATTGTTTTAAGGCTGATTAATGTAAATGAGAATTATTTGCATTGTATTGTACTGTTTCCAAAACATGATTCCATTTTGTCTGGGCAGCTTCATAGGTTGTATCCCCCAGTTTTTAATAAATATTCCAAGCACTGTAGTGCACAACAGCGTAGAGTGAATATGTAAACAAAGAGCACTTAAGAGAACAACAATCTGCTGTTAGCAGGCCGCTTAGGTCCCTGATTCTGTTGTGGAGCAAAGGAAACAGCAGTGGTCCTGCCAGTCTACAGGCGTGGCTGTGTTTATCCTGAGTTTGAATGGCTGTAGTGTGCTTTATTGATCGGCATTTTTAACTGCAGTCCATGCTGCAAGGCAAGGACCTTGGCAGAAAACATTAGCACTGAATTTTGTCTGATATGCATGAACAGGAGTAAAGAACAGGGATGTTTCCCCCCCCAGGCCTGAAACTGGTGGGTGAGTGGAGATAGATGAAGTTGGTCAGTCCGTAGACTGCTGGTTGGCGAGACAGTGTGCCTGAGCTGCATGGAGAGATCCAGTGGACTGCGTGAGCTGATACTAGTGCTTCACTCAGGGACCTGGAAGATGGAAGTCCAGCTTTGATAACAAAGGTTCAGGTACCTGTCCATGATGAGCAAGCATGAAGTAACAGTGGAGAGGAAAAACTCCCCATTGGAAAGAAACCTCTGGCAGAACCAGGCTAAACATGGCTGTCTTCTCCCAGACTGGTTGAGATGACACTCTTATAAAGCCTTAGCTACGATGATGGAGGAGGGGCTGGAGATGGGGTGAATCATGATAATCTAAATCGAAATCAGATATAGCACAACCACTGCCTGCACTTTGGGTATCAAACAGAGTTGTGGATTGGAGACCTTTTAAGATGAACTCTGGATGCTGATTGGGCTTTCATGAGTTGTGGTTCAAAGCTGATTAACTTGTGTCGGAGGCGGATGAGGGTACGTAATCAGTTTATTCAGTTGAACTTCCGCCTAGGCTCCATTTCTAATAACAATAAGTCTGGCTAGGGAGTATATCAATTAGCATCTGTTTTTTAAATAGGAACTGCCACGTGGTTAAGTTTAATGTCATTCCCAGAGTTGAAGTGCATTCAGAGATAAATTAAACCCAAGCCATCAGCACTTATTTCAGCTTAGATACTCTTTTACTATCTGCATATTTCACTGACCAGTTATTTGTCTTTCTTATATGTATCTTTTTCCATCAGTGCTGCTGAGATGTTTTATAAAATATGCGACAAACAAGAAGCAGTTTAAGATAAAACTGATCTGAAAGATGTACTGTAGCTGGAATTTGGTTTGATGATCTTTTTTGGGTTCCAGTGACAAATAGCTGTTTGTTTGTTGTTAACACACTAGCTGTTGTGCAACATTTCTTCTTTTGCTTTTTCCACTGTTGCGTGAGGCAGTCTGCATCAGTCCAT